CTCACCATCAAAAGTTGTAGAATTCTCATTACACGACGTTTCTGAGCAGTTTAAGCCGGAAGACTTCCTCAGGAGGCTTCAGGTTGAGGTAGGCCGCGTCCAAAGGGCAGCAGCGGTTCAGCAAACGTCACTCCCTTCGACATTTCAAGGGAGTAGGAGTAGTACGAGCTGGTTAATCCGCGTACAGTTCTATACGGTTAGCGCAGCGATCAGGGCCTGTAGTTTGACCAAGTCATCACCAACCATGACTGGGCTCATCCACAATTCAAAAGAGTCGAGCGCGAGGAGTACAGAGGAAGTACAGAAGGAGGAGAAGAGCAAAGAGGCCCCGGATATATGGAAAAGAGCAAGTCGAGTGGAATCTTGCGAGATTCTTAGTGAGAAATGGGGAAGAATGGTGGATAGCGTGGTTAGCTGTGAGTCAATAATCACACAAAATCACAGTGTGCATTGACATCATTTACAGACTTGTCGCTGACAAAGTCGAAACCCCCGATACTATATTGGGAGGACGCCTGTGGAAGCCATCTCTTATAGCTGTGCCAGTCTCGTCGTGACGACGACCATGCAATCCTTACTGGCTCCGCTATAACCGCATCCTGGCCGTCTTCTGTTCGAGGGAGGAGAGAGAGAGAGCAGACGAGCACCTTTCGTTATGCGACCGGTACTCGGAGTAATCGAAACGTTTGTGAATTTGAGCGTTTAAACCCGCGTCCTCTCGCTGCCGATATGCGCGCAACGCCCACCACTTGGCTCTTTGAAGGCGCCAATTCACTATGGATACTGGAGTTCTCCGGCATTACACACACTATTATTGGAGTTTGCGTGATCGCGAGGGGACGGACGAGGTCTAGTCTCCCTTGTATATCGGATCCACCCTTCAGACGCGCGCATAGTCTCTTTTTTCTTTCAAAATCACTGCTTGGCAAGGAGCGTTGTGGCGTTTAATCCAAAGAGTTGAATCGTATCCCTGTCGTGCAATCCGACTTCCCCTTCTCTTTGAGAAAGGCCTACCGAGACCGTATGGCACCCAATCGACATAATAAGCGCGGGCCAATACCACTCAGTGGAGATGGAGAAGCTCCCTGCCATACAATTGAGGGCGTTCCAGTGCCAATGAACGATAAAAAATCTGCGTTTTCCCATTGATGGTCGTTCTCCGGATATTAAAGAGAGCTCTCGATTTTATATCCTTAAGGCCGCATCCTGTCTCTTTCTCTCGACGACCGTTATCCCCATATACCTCTCTTGGACACCTGTCAACACTCGCAACAGTATATTCCAACATCCGCTCGCGCCAAGCGGTCCCTGGTCAAAAGCAAATCTCCACTCCCATCCCCATTTACCTCTTTACCCTTGCCCCTGGTCCACTTTGACCATGCTATCCTACATCTCTACCGGTTCACACGACGATAACGACCAAGTCATCGTTCCGTCGCAGCCATACGGGACGAAGCGCCATCTGTTACCGCTAGCCTCTCCCAGCAAGTACTCTCACGGCGCGCCCCTCTCATCCGACAATAGCACTTCCTCACCATCAAAAGTTGTAGAATTCTCATTACACGACGTTTCTGAGCAGTTTAAGCCGGAAGACTTCCTCAGGAGGC